CTGGACCCTCCAAGACAAGCAATTTCAGACCTCCCCCCGTGTGAGAACCCTCCAAAACATCGTCCCCAGTCCCCCCAGGCCCTCCAAGATAGCCTGGAAGAGACCCCCCCCCAAATGAGACCCCCCTCCCTTTATTACGAAATCTGGAGTACCCTTGCGTCCTTCCCCTTCGGCCCACCCTTGGTCTCTTTCGCTGGCCGCGCCCCGCTCGCAGAGAGTCGACGTGGCCTTCGGAGGCCCTTGCATTCTCACCGAGTGCCCTTCTGATGCGGGTTGACTGCACTGCCGGCGCAGATCCTTCGAGCGCGTCGCGACGGACTCGAGCCATGTGGCAGCGGCTCCCCTCTGTTCCTGCGCCTGCTGCTGCTGGCGCTCCCCATCTTCCTCAGCCTCCCCCATCCCTCTCCCTCCTTCGGCGGCGAGCGACGGGGGGAAGTCGGAGGGAGAAGGCCTTCGCAGAAGGCGGTGGGACTTCTCAGAACCCCCCCCCTCGCGCCTCCTGAGAAGTCTTCCTGTGTCTGGCCCGAAAACCTCTCGGGTTGACTGCCTGGCCGACCCATCGGCGCTGCATCGCCAACTCCAGGTCGAGGCTTCACCCCGAGTCCCCCCCCCCTAGCCGCCACCCCTGGAGGGTTTCTCCGAAGGGCTTAGGCGACCCCTCCTCCTCCTCCTCCTCCTCCTCCTCCTCCTCCTCCTCCTCCTCCTCCTCCTCGCGTTCCTCTCCTCGGGTCGCCTACGGCCCCGGGGGGAAACCGTCCACCCAACAACAAGCACGTTGCCCTCCCCCCCCCAGAGTTAGGTCGGGCATGTCCCCTTACAGGGGGACCTTGGACGAAAAGAAAAAATACCCCCACGCCGTGTGAAAAGATTCAACAACAAATGGTCCCCATGCTGTTTTTGGACCACTCTTGATTCCTCCTCCCGTAGAGGGACAGGCCCGACTGTAGCCCCAGAGGAGCGGGTCCTCCTGCGCATGCGGCAGGCCGCGGCCCCGGAGCGCCTCCTGTCGCTGCGGCCCTGCGTGCGGGACCTCGAGGGCACGCAGATCGACCGCGGTTTCTTCGCCAAGATCGAGGGCGGCTGCGGCGGCGAGGGCGCCGCCGACGCCGAGGCGGCGCCTCCAGGCTTGAAGTCGGGCATGGCCCTCTGCGGGAGGAGTTGCCAAAGATAGTCAGAACATAGCCAGGGGACGATTCTTCTATGTGATCGCGTCTTTCCATTCGTTGTTTTGCCGATCGTCGCGGGCCCTCGCACCCCTTCCCCTACCCCCCCCATGAAGTAGATCGTGGCTGGTTTTTGGCGCCTGATTCGAGTGGGTGGAGTCTCCCCCAGAGGCCGCACTCTTGCAGACAGTCGCACTAAGCAGAGGTCTGGAGCCAGACCCCTCCCCCGCCCCCCCCCCTTCCTCCCAATGGCGCAGCGCCGAATAAGAGGGGCGCGCAGTATTTTTTGTTGTCTTGGCAGATTCCTGAGCCTGTTGTGGCCGCTTTCTCACTATTCGTCCACAGTCCGCCTGCCGGAGGGCATGCCCGACCCATACCTCCAGGCGTGGCCTTCCTCGGGGGCAACGACAGCGGCGCGCTCCTCTCCGCGCTCGGCGCCGAGGTCGCGGCAGACCGGCGCTGGGAGGTCATGGCCGAGGAGGTCAACGTGCGCTCCGCGCCCAGCCTCGACGCCAGGTCTCAGTATCGTTTATCCGATTCCCGTCCCCATCCCCATTCCCTTCGAGACCTCCACCAAATTGCCACCCCCCAGCTGGGGATACACCTCTCGAAACCCGCAGGGAATGGCCTGTATCCCCATCTAGGGGGGTAAGTCGGCCAGAGGGGCCCAGGCCACGCTGCTGGGGATGGGGATCGGATAAACGATACTCAAGGTCGCTCGGGAAGAAGCGCCGCGGCGAGGTGTTCTCCGGCGAGATGGAGGGCGACTGGACAGCAGAGGAGGAGGAAGAGGCGCACCCATACCGCTACCCTCAAGAGTCGGGCATGGCCCTCTACAGGAGGAGTATGCAAACATAGTCAAAAAGAGTAGTCTGGTGACGATGTTTCTAGTATGTTTGACAATCTTTGAATATGTTGGCAGTGTTTTTTTTTGTCTTCGTCCAACATACACCTGTGGAAAGACATGCCCGACCTGACGCTGCCCTTCCGCCCTCGCCACGGGTGGATGCGCCCGGCAATCCTGGCCGGAACGCGCCCCAGGAGACGCCTGCGCAGTAGCCGCATCGGTACCTTTGCTCGGGTATGGCCAGGACCCCGGGTAAGGGGACCCGGTTAGTGGTAGGGCCCCGGAGCCTTCGAATTGGCCAGAATCAATACACCAGGTTTGCCATAGCAGGTGTTTTTTCGGGTGACGCAGCTCCGGTTAGTGGAAATGGGACGGGGGGGCGCCCCCCGTACAGACCACTAAACCAGGTCCCACTAAACCCAGTTCTACCAACGCCCGATTTGCGCCCTTCTAGGATACGCTTGAAGCCCAGCCTGGGGCCCGGGCGGTTCGCCTACGTGAAGACCATGTGGGAGGACCCGAAGAAAAGGCACGCGCGCCGACGACGACGACGATGATGACGACGACGACGATGAAGACGAGGACGACGATGAAGACGAGGACGATGATGACGACGACGACGATGATGACGACGACGATGATGACGACGACGGCGACGATGACGGCGCGGACTTCTCTCGGCTCTGCGCGGGCCGCCCCCCCCCCCCCCGAAGCGGCTCCGGCCGCCGCCCCCGGCGCGCTCCGCGTGCCAGGGAGGGGCTTGGCGCAGACTCGAGGCGTCCGCGCGGACCTCCGACGATTTGCGTAGGCGCCGTTTTCGCCTCCCCCTGAGGTTCTGTCGGGCGTGTCCCCCCTACAAGGGGGATTTTCGACGGAGAATAAAAAAAAACACATACACCAAACATGCACCAAGAAGGTCCCCAAATGCTCAAACAATAGTCCCCAGACTTTTTGGACTATCTTTTGATTATTTTTTGGGGTATTTTTGATGTTTCGTCGAAAATCCCCCTGTAGGGGGACAGGCCCGACCTAACCCTGAGGACATCTACCTGGTCTCCCCGGCCGTCGCGGACAGCAGGTCGATAGGGTGCAACTCCTATGGGAGGTCCAGTGCAGCATCGGCGCTGGGGCCGAAAGCCGGCCTACTCCAGCACACTCCCGCCTAATCCGGCTTACTCCCGACCGAGCTGGCTCATAATCCCAGGTTTATTCCAGTCCAATCTTTTTTAATGGTCGGTCAATCGCGAATGCTGCCCCTTACTGTTGGACGGGGCTTGGACGAGGAGATATCTGTTCCGGAGCGTTCCAGAGCGCTCTCAGCAAGTTCTTCTGGAACGCTCTGAGAAGGCTGCGGCGCCCGAGACAGCCTCCAGAGCCGCTGGATGTCAGAGATTCTCGATGCATCCTCACCTGATTTTACCCCCTGTCTGGCTTCGTCCAATAATCGCGGTCACTACCTCTTATTTGTTCTTGCGATGTCTTCCCAGTGGGGACGATGTTTCGATTACTTTTATTATCTGACTATTATTTCTTTGTGTGTGTGTTTGAGAGACAATGTTTGACTTTTCTTCGCGCGCGAACTATTTTTGACTTTTTTGTCGATCATGATTGATTTCCCCTGCAGGTCGCACTGCGCGAACGCCGGCCGCAACTGCAGCGACTCCCGGTGCTGCCGCTGGCCGGGTCACGCCTGCTTCCGGAAGAACGCGGTCTGGAGCGCCTGCCGCAGCAGCTGCGTGGAGGGCCCGGACCCGACGGACGGTGGGGCGCCGGAAGCTCGGAGCCCAGACACCCTCGGGCTTAGTGGGCCTTGGAAACGACAGGGCCGTTTTTTTTTACCGGTTCCGTTCTGCCGGTTTTTTGCCGGTTCCGACCTTGTTTTTTTTTACCGGTTCTGTCGCCGTTTTTTGGCCGGTTGCGGCTCCGGTTCCCATCCTGTTTGCCGTTTCCGGTCGCCGTTTGTTTGCCGTTTCCATTTTCAAGGGACCTTCTTTTGGAAACGGTGAAAAATCGGCCCTGCCGTTTCCGGGGCCCACAAAGCTCTCGGGTCATGAAGAAGACATGACGGGAGGTTTGTCGCTATGGTCGGCCTCCGGGGGCCCTCACCCGGCCTCGGGACCGTCAAACATTGGCTCAGGATGAGAAGCCGGTCCTGGGGAAGGGGTCCAGAGGTCGACCCCTGAGGGAAAAAATCACGACGCCAGGGGTCTGGGAAAGGCGCCCGTGCCGCGTTATCCTTCCCTCGCTTTCTCCCTTGTCGGGCCTCCTGGGAGACCCTCGTCGCCACTGCCGGATCCGCCTCGGAATCCTGGTCAGAGCGCGCCCGAGGAGGAGGAGGCTCGGAGGAGGAGGAGGAGGGAGGAGGAGGAGGAGGAGGAGGAGGAGGAGGAGGAGGAGGAGGAGGAGGAGGAGGAGGGGGAGCATGCGGTGAGCTTGCCTGCGACGTCGGGAGGGGTGGGGTCCTGGGCCCAGGCCTCGAGGTCGGCCCCTGGACTCGTCCTGTGGGGGGTGCGCTTAAGGGCACTCTATGCAGGATCGCGGGGGGGGGAGCCGGGCCGCGGCGGTGATCTTGAAGGGGCCGCCCGAAGGTCGCGAGTCAAGCAGTGGCGAAGCGTCCTGGCTCGCCTGTAGCCTCACCAAACAATGTTCTAAGAACCTTTTGTGGTTCCCACGAACTGTTCTTAGAACATTTCTGGCGGAGTCTGTCTTGTTTCATCACATCGGGGTTATGTTCTAAGGACATTGTTTTTGTTATTCGAACATTTTTGGGTTCTAAGAACATTTCGTGGTAGGACTATAGGAATGCCGGGACGGTCGGTCCCTGCTCAAGAGAGGAAAAGGCTCGAGCGAGCTCCCCTGGAGGCCGACGTCACGAGAGAGTTTCGGAGGTGGATAGACCTCCTACCCTGACACGTCGATTAGCGAATTGGCCGTCTTCGGTTCGCGAGAGGGCGTCGCGGCCGTCCTTTTTGCGGGTCCAGGTCCGTCGGTTTCGGTCCCAGGCCGTTTTCACTAAGGGGAGGTTTGCTAAAGGGAGGTCTGTCCACCGCCGAAAGCTGCGACCTCCCCAGGACCCCCTGGCGTCGGGACAAAAAATCACGGCGGGGGGGGGGTCTTTCACGAGCTTCGGCCTCCCGGGGCCCCCACCTGGCCTCGGGACAGTCAAAGGAAAGGGCGCGGAAGGAGGTCGGGCGAAGAGAACTATGCACATGCACTGATCCTGGCAAGGCCCATCCTTGACCCAGGATCGGTGCACATGCCTTCCTGGCCAAGGTAGGAGGGCGTATGCACCGATCATGGGCTCAGGATGGGCCTGGCCAGAATCGGTGCATGCGCATAGTTCTCTCTCCTCTAGGAGGAGCCAGTTCCAGAGAAGTGGAGTCCAGACCTCTGTCGTCGACGCTCTGAAGAAAATCATGACGCCGGGGGTCTGCCGAAAGCTGGGCGAGGGCTGCTAAAACCGTGGCTGCTAAAACGGCCCTCCCGGAAGGAAAACACAACTTCCCGGAATGAGGCGCGGCACGCGAAACAGTCAACGGGCTTCTTCCCGGAAGGACGAAGACAACTTCCCGGAGGTCGATGTTAGCAGCCACGGATTTAGCAGCTTTTGCCCGGCTTCCGAGTCTGGGCCATGGGCATCACGACCGGGGCCCCATCCTTCCGCGGCACCTCTCGCGCGCCAGAGGCATCCGTGGATGGTCCCGGGGCCCGAAGCCGGGCGGCGGCGCGCGGTGTGAGAGAGCTGCGGCGCCCAGATCTCGGCTGGGATGGCCGCAGGGCTGCTGATGCAAAACAGGGCTGGGCATTCCGGGATAAATCGCATCGGGCATCGGGCATCGGGATAAATCGCTGGGATGGCCGCAGGGTTGCTGCTGTAAAACAGGGCCGCAACGGGCATCGGGATAAATCGCTCCAGAGCGTTCCGGAGCGCTCTCAGAGCGTGCCGGAGCGCTCTGGAGCGGCCGCGGCGCCCAATACATCCTCCAAACCCGCCGATTCTCGGAGATTTCGAGTTGTCCCGATCCGATTTTGTCCCGATCTTCGCGTCGTTTTACAATGGGGTAATGGGGGTTGTAAGAAAAAGGGATGTTATGTATGGTGTAAACTACATTATCGAAGACGCCTACGGCGAATCACCGCCGCCCCCTGCCTTTTTGGAGACGCCGATGTGGCCGAAAGTTGGATTAGAGCTTGGCCAAGCTATCGGACCATGAGTTCCCCGAGTCGGTTTGGAAAGCTTTCGGGGAACACATGGGAGAGAATGATTATGAACAGGAAGAGGAAGAGGAAGAAATAGAGTAGGAGGATGAGGGTTGTTAGGAGTCTCTTGGGGCACCCTTGGGGTCTGTTGGGGGCTTCTTGGGGGCCTCTTCGAGGCCTCTTGGAGGCATCTTGGGGGCCTCCTTGGGCCTCTTGGGGGCCTTTGGGGGCTTCCTGGGGGTCTCTTTGGCCGTCTTAGGGCGTTCCTGGTCCGTCTGACGCCGTCTGGAGCCGTCTTGGGGGCCTCTCTGGGCCGTCTTGGGGCCCTCTTGGGGCGCTTCAGGGCCGTCTTGGAGGCCATGTTGGGCGTCTTGGAGGCCTCTTGGGCCGTCTTGGGGCGCTCTTGGGGCCGTCTTGGGGGGCCCTTGGGCCGTCATAGGGCCTTCTTGGAGGCCTCTTGGGCGATCTTGGGGGCCTCTTGGGCCGTCGGAAGGCCGAAAAGAAGAAAACGCAAAAAACCTTGAAAAACCTAAGGAAAACCAATGATTTTGGCCTCTTCGGGCTCTCCTGGAGAACGTCTTGGAGGCCTCTTGGGCCATCTTGGAGGCATCTTGGGGCCATCTTGGCCGTCTTGGAGGGCATCTTGGGCCGTCTTGGAGGCATCTTGGAGCCATCTTACCCGTCTTGGAGGCCATCTTGGCCGTCTGGGAGGCATCTTGGAGGCCATCTTGGGCCATCTTGGCCGTCTTGGAGGCCATCTTGGGCCAAGTTGGGGCAACAAAGGCATTGACAGACGGATTTTCGGAAACTTACGGGTGGCCGGCGGGACGGGCCGAAGCCCACTGGGGAGTTCTTTTAGAAAAAGAACCAAAACCAAAACCTGAAACGTCCAGCACGCCGTGCACCCCTGTGGCAAGACCACAGGGGGCGGCGGACCTACGGGCCCTCGGCCGATCCCGCCACCGTGCCTACGTTGTGGGTCTGAGGCCTCTTGGATCTTTGTTGGGATCTCGTCGATGCCTCTCTAAGGGCCTCCTGGAGGCAGCTTGGAGGCCTCCGGCGGGCTGCTGCGGCGCCTCTTGGGGCCTCTTCTGGGCGTCTCGGGGGCCTCGTGGTGCCTCGTGGGGGCCTCCTGGGTGCCTCTTGGGGCGGAAGTCTCGGATTTTCGGTTCGTGTTCCTCCTCTTGGGGCCGTCTTGGGACCCTATTGGGCCGTCTTGGGGGCGCCTCTTGGGCCTTCTAGGGGGCCGCTGGGGCCGTCTTGGGGCCCTCTAGGGGTCCACAGGGGCCGTCTTGGGGCGGTCTTTGGCTCTTCTTGGAGCGTCGTAAGCTCGAATAGCGGAGAACCTCAGAAACATGCAACAACATTTTTTTGACAATCAATGATTTTGGCGCCTTCGGGACCCTCTTGGGAGCGCTCTTTGAAGCTGTTTGGGACGTCTTGGGTGCTTTCTCTGTTGACTGGAAGCCATCTTGGGCGTCTTGGACCGATCGTTCGGCGATTCGGGGCCCTCTTGAACAGTCTTGGGGCCTCTTGGGACTCTCTTGTCCCGTCTTGGGACCCTCCTTGTCCCCGAAAAACACACGCGACAAGACGCCGGGAGCCCCAAGAGATTGGAGAGCTAGGGGTCCAACCCTCAGGATTCGGGACTCAGGTATAAGGGATTAGGCATCGGACCTGAGGGCACTCCAACTCCTGCCTCAGAGCAGTGCGGCGGATAAGTGGGTTACAACTTCCATGAGTGGCTTCGGTGGGCTCGAGAGCTCCGCCAAGAAGTAGGCGCAGCCCACTTGACCCAGATCCTAGACACCTTACTCACTCATAAACTGTTTTAGGCCCTGTAAAAGTAATCTTAGCATCCACGTATAACCGCCCTGCCCCCTCACAGTCGGCCCGCTGAATAAAGAACCCTTTTCGTTGGGAAAGTGCTCAGTGTTCCTTACGTGTTCTACTGCTTGTCCTACGCGTTCCTTAGTTTGGGCATGGGAAGTCTGACTTTATGGAACAACGGAGCCTCGTGCGTTTTTTACAGTTCCTTGTGACAGCGTTTTGACTGCAGCACCTCCCGCGATCCTCCAAGAGGAGGCCGCAGGAAGATAAGAAGCCTCGGCCCCCGATGCCCGATCGAGGACCGCCGAGAGCCATGCCGACCAAGCGGCTGGGACTGCTCGGTGCCCCCCTCGGGGGCAACGCTAGGGGGGCGGACACGTGCTCAGCGGGGGGACAGCATGGAGCCCCAGGGGCCGAGCACACCGCCGTTTCGCTTGACTTCGGCCCTGGTCCTGTTTTCTCCCCGTTTGACCCGTTGCTGTCCCGTGTTGTGCTTCGCTCCGGTCTCGTTTTCGTTCGGCACGCGTTCCGCTGTTTACGCGCTCCTTGTACACGTTCGGGGTTTCGTTTTTTGTCGTTCGGTCTGAACGCCGGTGCGTCGTTAAAACCCCGGCGGCATCCCAACACACCGATGTCGTGCGTGCGCCGCCCAGGATTAGGTCGGGCCTGTCCTCCTACAGAGGGATTCTCGACGAAAAATCAAACATACCCCCAAAATACCCCCAAAAGGTCAAACAGTATTCAAAAAATCGCCCCCAGACTATTTTTGGATTTTTTTTTGAATTATTTTTGAGGTATTTTTTTATTTTTCGTCGAAAATCCCCCTGCGAGGGGTTTTCGACGAAAAATTAAAAATACCTCCAGAATAAAAATAATAAAAAAACCCAAACTATTCCCAAAAAGTACCAAAACATTCAAAACATAGTCCCCAGACTATTTTCGGATTGTTTTTGAAGTATTTTTGGGGTACTCTTTTTTTTTCGTCGAAAATCCCCCCGCAGGGGGACAGGCCCGACTTACCCCAGGGGCGGCGTGCGCCCCGAGAGCTCCTGCAGCACGCGGGTCGTGGCGGCTGCTTTTGGTTGGCCCCGCCGCTCGGGAAGCGGCGGGTCTGTTGCAAGGCGGTCGTGCTATGTGTGTTGGCGGCGCGCAAAAGGGGGTAGGGGGGAGGGGGGAAGGCTTCTTAGAAGCACCCTGCTGCTCAGAAGGCCTCGCCTCACGTCTACGGAAAGGCCCGCGCCTTCTAAGAAGCAGGGGTGCTTCTAAGAAGCCCTCCCCCCTCCCCCCACCCCCCTCTCTGCGCGTGGCCGAGTGTGCGCGGGTCGGGCGCACGCCTCCGAGTTGGACAGCTGGTACTCGTATAGGGGAACATAAGGTGGCATGAACATAAAAACTCGGAGGTCCGCGCGGAGTTCTCGGATCGGCGCTGGGGCCCCCCTTCCCTGGCGCGCGGAGCGCGCCAGGGGCGGCGCCGGAGGCGCCGCCGGGGGGCCCCAGCGCCGATCCGAGAACTCCGCGCGGACCTCCGAGTTTTTATGTTTATGCCACTTTTTGTTCCCTTATTGTACGTCCTCGTGCGACCCATTCGGCATCGCTGCCCTGGGTCGCTGTCGACCCACCGCTCGCCCGCTCAGCGCCGACGGGGGCCTGACATCAGGAGGGGAAAAACTACACAGACGCAATTAGTCGTCGACTCCCAGGAAAACATGGGGAAATATGGGAAGTGGGGGGGAAGATTAAAACCCAGAAAATATGGGGAAATATGGGGAATCCTGTTATTTGTGTGTGTGTGTGTGTGTGTGTGTGTGTGTGTTTATTTGTGGGTCCTTGGGCCCCGTCATGATAGCCCACCCCGCTCGCGAAGCTGCGGATCTGCTTCCGGGGGCTCGACGCCGGTCCATCGGCGACGTGCCGCTGGCTCCAGTTCGATGCTCCTCCTCCTCCTCCTCCTCCTCCTCCT